GGATCGTTGAGGCCTGTTCTGACTGTAGATCCACATTTAGGACTCTCTACTTCATATGAAATAACTCCTCTGTTTAATAAAGGGAACACCAGAAGGGAGGTAAGGTAACCGCAGAGTTTACACCTATAACCTGAAACCCCACGTCCTCCGTAACCGCTCCGCTCCAGAATGCCTGAAAAAAATAAAATAAAGACAATTTGGTCAAATATATTATATCACGATTAATTTGCGTGGAACTGCTTGCAGTTGTTCATAAAGCCGTTGTTTGGAAAAGAAGCTCGAGGTGGAGAAAAAGCTAGAGAATAGGAAAATGCAAATTTTGACAAAAGTGGCTCGAAAACGAGGAATTCGGGACATGGCTGCAGCCTGTCGAGAGTAAAGATGATTTCACCGGGTTCTTTACCTACCGTATTTTCACGACCATAAGGCGCACCGTACTAAAAGGCGCAGTCTCAGTTATGTGTGCCATTTCTGTATTTAACACACACATATGCAGTGTTGGGAAAGTTCTCTTTCTACGTGAACTAGTTCAANTTAGACCTTTAATCATAAACCCAGAGTAGGTCCATCTTCCTGGGTCTCCTCCTCTAATCAAACATGGAGCAGACGGATAACGGTCTAATGGATTCATGATGTTAGTCTTTGTTTTTGACGCTGGTGTGCCGCTGAACGCGTCAAACGCTGCAGATCGTCCGTGGATCGTCCACGCCGCGCTGCAGCGCTTGATCGCAGACACTCTAGTGAATCAGAGCCGTTCCAGGCGACGCCCCGCTGAGCGCCCCGGTACGTGGTCCGCCGAACGCACCCCAAAATATGCAGCTGGTCTATATTTTCTCACACCTCATGCTTTAAGTCGTCGTCAATCTGGAGTAGAGCGGATCGTTGAGGCCTGTTCTGACTGTAGATCCACATTTAGGACTCTCTACTTTATATGAAATGACTCCTCTGTTTTATAAAGGGAACACCAGAAGGGAGGTAAGGTAACCGCGGTGAAAACGCCTTTAACCTGAAACCCCACATCCTCCGTAACCGCTGCACTCCAGAGCGCCTGCATAAAGCAAAGCCTACAGCCTCCGCTGCTCCTCCCTTCCTGCTCCACTCCGACTTCCCTGGAGCTCGAGGAAAGCATGAGCTATATTATTATTATTATTACCATTATTATTATTATTATTATTATTAAACTCTTAGGAGCAAAACATGCAGAAATGAAAGCTTAACTTGATATGAAATATTATGTATGTTTGTTCTCTGCTTCCAAACTCAGCATCTCTTCATCCTTCCTTCTTTTGACCGGATTTGATTAAACTTTTAAGCCTCTTGGTATAAAATAAATATTTAGAGCTAGATGAGAAATCTGTTTCCTGGTATGTTGAGGTACCAACAGAGTATTTAAGAATTACGCTGTGATTACCGATCAGTAATCGCTAGGGGTGGAAGGATTCACAAAATCCACGGTTCGGTTCGATTCACGGTTCTCGGTTTGATTCGATATATGTTGATTGTTACACTGAATCCCATAAAAATTTATGAAATTAATGAAAAAAATCCCCCAAAAAATAATGAATTGTAATTATTTTAAATGATCCTCGGAAACCCTGGATCATTTCCGTATGTTTTGCTGCTTTGAATTTAATCATGTGGCGCATGTTCTCTACCATCTCCAAGGGACTCAGAGGGGAGCGGACGGGAGCCACAGTGGAGGCTGTAGGCTTTGCTTTGAGCAGCCGGTCTGGAGCGCAGCTGCTGACGTAGTATGAGGGATTTCGGGGTTAGCATGACGTGTTGGTCATGTTGCTGTTAGCATAAACACTGTTG